ACTCCCATTAACTAAGTTTTCTTTTGATATCCTAGTTTTCATTTATTCTTGTTCCATTCTGTTGAATTTTGACAAGCACTCTACAATAAAGTGGGCACACATGCATGCACATGCAATTATTTGTATGACAAAAAAAATATGTATTAGAATATATATTCTAACCAACTTATAAAGGTTTTCAACGAACTTGTTTTTGGACAGGTGCTGGTGGTGTACTTCACTGTATTTGGAGGACTGATGGCTTTTAACTACAACCGCACACTGCAGGTGTGGGCAATCCCTCTGTTACTAGTAGCTTTTTTTGCCTGCTTAGTAGCTCATAGTTTTTTATCTGTGTTTGAAACGGTGCTGGATGCACTTTTCCTGTGTTTTACCGTTGATCTGGAAACAAATAATGGATCGTCAGAAAAGCCCTACTTTATGGACCAAGAGTTTTTGGTAAGCAACCATTTCATTTCCTTTTATAGTCTCCATCCTCAGGGTCTCTGTTGAAGACAGACTCACACACACCCCTATTTCTTGTACAGAATAAGATCTGAGCTCAGCTCTTCAAAGCTGAACCACTTCCCTTACTCAGACCTGCTCCCTGGAGAGAAGTGAAGCTGAACAGAACACTGATTAGATGGGTTCCCAGTAAGGGCATCCCCAAAGGTCCTGTGTAGGTGTTCTGGGAAATAGCAATCCAAGTACCTTTGGCGCTTATGGCTTGGTTTGGCTTTGATGGCCCTCTGAGAAGTTTAATGTGGATCTTTTTCTAAAGCATATTTGGACCTCCAAGAGCCATGTCATACCCCAGGGTAGACTAATCAATCACCTTCTGTGGCAATGCTGACAGATCTGCCACCTGCAGGCCTTTTGGTAACCAAGGCACACCCTCAGAGAGCCTCCATGCTGCATCTATCTGGAAATAGCAGGCAGCTGTTCCAACAGCATTTACAACACAGTTGTTGCTCATTTGTCTTATCCTATGTAGACAGGGATATTTTAACAACCGAATGTCTCATCTTATTGTTGGGTCACATGGCAGTTTAATAATTTTCTTTCATTCTGTTGCAGTAAAACTTAGACGTTAAAGCCATTTTAGCTTTAAACAGCATCAAAGCACTCTCAGTCTAACAGGCTCTTAAGTTTAACAAGCATTTCTGTAGGTTTCTAATATATCTGTCCTCAATTCTTTACTATTTAGATGTACTCTAAAAGAAGTATTTCTGAGGGTGAGATGAGATTTATATTTTTCACTCAAAAATCCACTTTGAAACCTACTCCCTACCAAATATTAGTTGAATGAGGAAAATTTTTTTTATTAATTATATTGGTACATTTAAGGTATACAGTATGACATTCATCATTGGAAATTTGCACCTTTACATAATCCATCTTGGTTCTTATTTTCCCCCTTCCCCTGCCCTCCCTTCATCCCCTCCATCCCTTCCTATCTCCAAGACTTTGTTTCCATTTTTTCATTTTCTCATATTAATTCCATTCCCTTCTTTCCCCCTACCCCTCTCATTTCCACTTCCCCTTTGCCCCTTTTCTTCCTATTTCACATTATCTACTATACCTTTTAGTCCTTATTTACACTTTCAGTTTCTCACACTAGAGAAACTATTCGGTATTTACATGTGTTTCCTATTTATTTCACTTAAGAGTATCGCCTCAATGTGCATCCACTTAGCTATAAATGTCTCTAGTTTCTTGTTCTTTGTGCCTAATACTCCATTTTTACTAAAGAAAAACACCCCACATTTTCTTTATCCAGTCTCCAGTTGATGGGCACTTGGGCTGCTTCCAAGCTTTAGCTAGTACAAACTGTGCCACCATGAACTTGGGTGCACATATATCACTGTGGTATGATTCTTTTAATTCTTTGGGGAAGATACCCAGCAGGGGAATAGCGGGGTCAAATGGGACTTCCAGTCCTAGTTCTTTGAGGTATCTCCATACTGATTTCCACAGTGGTTGCGCCAGTCTACACTCCCACCAGCAGTGGAGGAGGGTACCTCTTTCCCCACATCCCCGGCAGCATTTGTTATTGGTTGATTTCATGATGGCAGCCATTCTTTCTGGAGTGAGGTGGAATCTCAGTGTTTTCACTTGCATCTCTCAAATGACCAGTGATGTTGAACATTTTTTCAAATGTTTGCTATTTCTACTTCTTTGTGTGAGAAATGTCTGTTCATTTCAGATGCCTATTTTTGGATTTGGTCTTTAAATTTGGGAGGTCTGATTTTTTAAAATTTTTTATATATTCTAGATAGTAGACCTTTGTCTGAGGGACAGCTAGTGAACGGGGAAAATTTTTAACAATTTCCCAAAACTATGAGGCCAAGAACTAGTAAATGGTTATCAACAATGCAGACACATCACCTATCTCTTCTGTTTTTCAGGGTTTTGTAAAAAAGATCAACAAATCTAACAGTGCAAGGGCACAGAGAGAGAGAGACTCTTTAAGGAATGAAGAGGGTACAGAACTCCGACCCATCGTGAGATAGGCACCCATCAAACATTTGTACATGGAGAAAGTGACCTTCAGAGCCACTGACAGAATAAAAGACCTGAGAGATCCTGATCTTCATTGTTTTTGCCACTATGTCAAAATACTTAAAACTATTAAGTTTAGTCATTTTTATAACTAGGACATAAACATTTACAACCATATTTATATGCAACAATTTAAGAAGCATGGTATGTAAAAACCCATCTGAGTTTGTGAAAGCATAACAGTAAATATTTTTTTTAAAAAAAGGATTTTTGTCAGCAGAAATCTCTGGAACATTGCTGTTATACAGGGCAGCAATTCCTATTCATCCAATCTTGGAAATATGCTAAATATACTGACTTTGTAGGTGGCTAGCCTGAATGGAAGAAAAGCCATTTTCCAATTTTCTGCCAGGTCAGGCTGCTATGTCCCACTTAAACTGGGACACAAAGTAATATCCCTAAATTCTCTTATCAGTCAACTCGTTTAGCTCTTCTATGCCTGTACAGCTTGCTGCTAACATTTTTCTCTTATTTCTAAGCATTTAATGTCCATATTCAAGTGATACTTTCTCAACATTTGCTTATGATCCAAGGATAATTGGTTTAGATACTTACTTGCTCTTTGTTATGGCTTGTATCTAGGTGTCGTTCCCCCCCCCCCCAAGGCCTCATGGGGTCATAGGTGGATCTCTTTGGAGATGGCTGAATGTAGGGTGTGTGATGCTGGGATAAAGGGTGTGTGAATACTAAATTATCCAACTGATTGGTTTAGCATAGTTCTGGGTATGGTTAATAGAAAAGGTCACTCTGCGGGCCTTCAAAAGTCGGGGCCCAGAAGAGATAAAAAGGGAGACAGGCAGCTGCTGCTGCTTCACTACTTCTCTGTTTTGCTGCCTTTTGGCTCCTCTGCTTTGCCATGAACTGTGTCTCCTCTGCAATGCCCTTCTGCCCTGCCTTGGAGCCAAGCAACTATGGACTGAAATTCTACAAACTCTGAGCCAAAATAAACCTTCCCTCATTTAAAAATAAACAAACAAACAAACAAACAAACTGGCTTTTCAGAGTACAATTCTTAAAATTAGTGAGATAAATCCTGAATGTCTGGGCTCTTATTTGGAACTAGTCGTATAGAGACAGGCAGAACCTTAACTGTACATGACTTAGCTGGTTAAAAGCAGGAGGCACTCTTACAAATGGGCAATCACAACCACAGCCACATCTGAGAATTGCCGACTTTTAAAAAATGATTTTATCAGGACCCCACCTAAGATTTAAATGGTGGAGAGAGGGAGCTTTTCTTTCTTAAAGCTTTAGATAAATAGGAACATTCAACAGGGTGACCAGCAGCCTCACTTGTTAGCTGGCTGGGCAGAATTACCCACCCCCTAATGGGAGGGTCAATCTGACTTATAGCGGGGTAGGTAGTATGATGAAAGGCTTCCTTGCCTTCCCTAAATGCTTCTTCAGAGATGACAAGAAACAGCCCGACAGCTCAGGTCTACTTTAAATGCAAATTTTTCCCTGAACAGTACCACTGAATTAGTTTAGCTCATTAGTCTCCTATAAGGGATTTACAGAGCATTAAATTCAGTTATTGTAAAATGATAACCAAGTAAATTTTGCTTTCATGGATTTCATCAAGCCTGACATTCGCTCCCTCCTTATCAGCCTTACCAAAAAACAGGCACATTTTTCACCCCCAAGCCCAATAGGGCTAATTCTATCGAAATCACTACACAATGTTTGTTAAGTCACTACCAATTTCCTTTGGTGACTGTATTCTTCTCAACACTTAGCTGTTGTCTGACCACCTCTCTGTCACAAATGGCAAACCTATGGCACATGTTGTTTTTCCTGAACTAAAACCTCAGTATTCAGGTTTAACTGCAGTGTTGCCACTTTGCAATAAATAAATGGGTTTTGAGTTACAGTTTGGGCACTTGTCTCTGAAAGGTTCACCATCACTGGTTTAGGTGTTACTATAACCCTAACCTTATGAAACAGCAAATCTGTTTCTACTCCAGTATTATTTCTTATTCATATTTACCCTAGGGTATATACATAAAATCCCACCACACACATACACTCCCACAAGTATTCCTGAAGGTGATGTTTATTCCAAGATGAATTTAAGATGAATCCGGAGCAGCCAAGTCACAGTCAAATAAGCAAGGGTCAGATAATCCCTGGCTGCCACTTACTCTTCACTTTTCTAAGCCTCAGTCTCCTTAAGCATAGAGTACCAGAAAAGAATCAGCCTGTGGCTCATATGAATGTTCAAAAAAAATATTTATTTATAAAAAATACAATGGGATAAGTTTATGCTGAGAAATGCAGCAATAAATACAGTTGAAGAAAACAGAGCAACTCTACAATGATACAGTGGCACAAACGAAGATTTTGCAACCGCACCACCCAGACCTAAATGTCTGCAAGCCATTTTTGTACATGCTCCTTATAGAAATGCCACTCTGAAAATATCTTGTCAGCTTAAGAATGAGTACACATATAATCACAAATGCACACTGATCAAGACTTTATTTAAAAATTAGCAAACAATACTGTAGAAACATTGATATGTAAAATTCTAAAATGCTGCATCTTAGATTTAGTTGGCAAAGACCACATTTAGCAATAAGCACGAGTTTAGTCTTCCATGTAGAAACCAGATACACTAAACTGTAAAAAAAGAAAATCTCCTATTGTTGGAAAATACCAGTTTAAGTGTAAGATTGTAAAAAATGCATAGATCTTTAATAGAAGAATTGGCTGTACAAGAGGACTCCCCTTTCACAGTATTCCTTTTTACTTCATATGCACAAGTTACTGGTTATGCTGTAGGATTTAACTGTTACAGCACTAAAAGGCAACTATTTAGGGAAGAGGCAGAGAAAGGAGAAAGGAATGTATGTAAGGCATTTTTTTTAAGATACAATAAGCATAATAGTGTTTTAGGAAGACAAGATAAAAAATTACTCAAGGCTAGCTTGGTTCTCACTGAATAAAAACGATGGACTAAATACTGAGCTCCTCTATGTCAATCTAATAATCAATGCCTTGGTCGCCATATTGGTAATCTCTGGGGTAGTCATCTGGGTACTCGCCATGATATTCATCTGGGTATTCTGCCTGATAATCACTATCACTGATTTCCGACCCATTTGTTCCTGTGCCTTGGCTTCCATTGTGAATGACAGGTTCTGTCGGAGCAGCACAGTATTTGGGATCATACACTTGCCGCCCAAGCCCATACACACTCATTCCTTTCTGGGAAGCAACTTTGTTGGTACCCATCTGTAGGGAAATTGTCGAGTTGTCCATTGGCTGTAATGTTAGCTTCTGATCGTAGATGTCTCTTCTGGTACCTGGTGCTAACATCCCAGCCTGGTATTAGAACACAGATAAGAACAAAGTATAAAAGTTGACATAGCAGCTAAAGTCTATTCTTGTTAATATTTTATAAATTATGAGCTTCACACTGAATAGGAACGCTAACATAACCTTCATTTGGTTCAGGGGTAAACCTACCTTACCAAAATATGCTGATATCAAATTACTTTTATGAAGCAAAATTCACTGGCTTTCAAGCCAAGTCAGACCTTCCTTCAAATCTTTGCTCTACTATAAAATGCTATGCAGCCTCAGACAAGTTAACCTTTAGTTTTAGGTTTCTCACATGTAGTATGAAGACAACACTTCCAACTCTGGATTTAGAAGAAGATCAGACATAAAGAATGTAAAAAATGGTGGGACACTTCAAAGTTACATCTGAATGCCCATTATGATCATGTACACTAACCAAGTGACCCATTTTAAACACTTGTAAATACATTCTTTTCAAAGGGCTCTGAGTCATATAAGAACTAACCATTTCGGACAGCAGCCTCAACACACTCCTTTTCAGAGTACTGTAACTCATACATTAGTTTCCCACTTACAACAATCACATACTTAAAGCTGTAAAGTGGCTGAAAAAGCAAGCTCAAGTGGCAGCTAGGAGAAACACAACGCCACACAAATAAATAGAAATCACATCTCGGGTCATTGAGACAAAGCATTTTCAAACCTTATCCTTGATTTGGTTGGATGTGGGAACCATCCTCTCTCAAATGGCTACTGGAACTCCTCCTGAGGTGCTGGCAATGTATTTTTAAGAAAAAAATACAGTGCTTCCACCTTGGATGCAGTGTTAGAACACTGGTATTTTTACCACGCTCCATTTCCATCTACTACCTAAGAACTCTTTAACTAGCACCTCAGGAATATTTGGCCTCTGGGAGTTAAACATTTCATAGGGAATGCTAGCTGAATAGTTCTTAGTAGGACACCAGATAATTTTACCTACTTTAAGATTCCCTTTTAAAAAGAAGAAAAACCCAGCATTTAAATAAGCACTCTTTCGCTTGAGTTTTGGAGCAAGAACACTAACAAACATATCTTTTTCTTCTAGTCAAGTAGAAAAGCCAGCTGTTCTAACTACCCCCTAAAACCCCATGAACCACACCCACTTTCATTGATGTAGAAAAGGTCCTTTGATTCTTTTCCTTTCTCAGCAAAAATCTACTTTCCTGAAGTATACATTCTAAATACACCATACAAAAATACTTACTTTGAACTTCCAGTTAATAAGTGCTAATCTTTTAGTTTTTGAGACAAGGTCTTGCTATGTAGTTCAGGCTGGCCCTGAACTCACTATGTAGCCCAGGCTGGCCTGGAACCCATGGTGATCCTCCTGCCTCAGCCTCCCAAGGGCTGGGATTACAAGTGTGCACCACCATGTCCAGTTCCTAAGTGCTAATCTGAAACAGCCCCTTTGTACTTCCTGCTACGAGTATGAAAAGTGACTGCTTACCTGGCTGGCTCCTTTGTTGGTACCCATTTGCAGACTGATAGTGGTCTGGTCAAAAGGTTTGTCAGTTTGCATTTTGGGATCATAAAGATGCCGCCTAGTTCCATAGGCTGTCATACCTGCCTGGCTGGCACATTTGTTTGTTCCCATCTTTTAAGTTAAAAATAAAATTAGCACTAATTAATCAGAAGTCCACAACTTATAACATAAAACTATGTGTTACTACAATGATGGAAGGAAGATAGGGCTAGGCGTGGACCTTAGTTACACAACACGTGCTTATTAGCATACATGCAGTCCCAGGTTCAATGCTCCAGCACCCCGACCCCCAAAAAAGAAGAAAAGGGTGGAACTAAAAACACATTTTCAAGTGCTAACTTTTTTTTTTTGGTACCGGGGATCGAACTCAGGACCTTCCGTTTGTGAGGCAGGTGGCAGAACCACTGAGCTAAATCCCCGGCCCTCAAGTGCTAACTTTAAAAGGAAAGTTTTCCCCCCAAAATTCTCTGTATATAGATAGAGCCTCAAAGCATAATGAACCATACATAAACTTGCCCACATGAAGAGATGGACAGACACCTAAGAAGCTATTTCAGTGGCAAAATTATACACAATTTTCCTGCTACTCTTTCTCTTATTCTCTGAGCTATAGATAACCAAACTAAGGGATTCCGGCTTCAGTCATGAACAAAAAAGCAATGTTAGGCCAGGCAATGTGCTTTCTACCTCAGCTATAGTTTACATAAAACATGAGAGCAAATGCCAGGAATTTTCTCTGGGTCTTTAGAAGCATTTCTGTTAAGTTTAAAATCACCAGCACTTTCATGGGAAGGAAGCCACATTTTATACTAGCCAGAGCAAGAAAGAGGCAGAACGAGGAATCTGAATGCAACGAAATTTGGAGGAATGGTAACTTCCTTTCCCCAGTGAGAACCACATGGCTTCAGGACCAACTGGTACACCCTTCCTACTGGCTAACGACAAGTTTCTACCACTGATGGTTTATTCCTTAAAAAACAAGATTTATTAAATTCTTTATTACTAAAAGTATAGCCTGTTTACTGAAAAAGATTCAGAAAACCTATATAAGCAAAAAAGAAAAAAAAAAGTAATTTTAAATAGTACCATCCAGACTTGCTTTCATTTGAAAAAACCTTTTGGGATTTTTACCTTATGGGCCTGTCTACACATCCACAGCTACACATCTAAACACATTTACATATAAAATATCCACTTGGCTTTTAAATTTTAAAAAATCACATTGATCACAGAATTTTAAAACCGACTTTATTTTGCCTTAAGCTATCTTTCAAAAACTAGTGTATTTTTATATTACAAGTTCCCTTATAAGTTGAAATTTAACCAACTGACTACTGTTTGAAAATTCCGGTTTCCAATTTCCCACACTCTACATAAATTCACCTTACATAGACTCAGTCAAGAGGGGGCAATGTATCAAACAGGTATTGGAAAGCAAACCCTATAGCACTGAAGGCATTAGCAATGGTTTTTTTGTGACTCTTCAGGGGGACAATGTGAAAAGAAAAGCTTTACTTATTGTAGTATTTTCTAAGAATTAAACACAAATTTCAGTAGGGCTTAGCTGTTGCATCATTTATTATCAGTATAAACAAAATTACTTTGGCATTAAAATTTTGTAAAATTACTTCATTTGCTTAATAACAGGAATCTACATTTTCTTAAAAAAAGAAAAAAGACAGCACAATTAGAAAAACTTCATTTCCTAAAGAAACAACTGTCAAGTTGGTAGCATATCAGAAGTATCCTCTTAAAACCATCATCGCCTGGCAGGCTTTAAACAGGTATAAACTGTATAAACCATCCAGAAATCTACACTATAGTACTTCTATCTACACTTTACTTATGAGAGACACTTAATATTTTGCATAGCAGGAATTATTGAGACTGAGTAATTGAATAAACAACACTTACCTGCAAACCAATTACACTTTGGCCTGCCTTTAATTTTCCTTCATCAAAACGTCTTGTTTGTTTTTCTGCATACTTAACTCCAATGTCAATAGTTGTGTGGAATCCTTTTGTTTTAGCCTGGACAGAAAAACATGCACCAACTGAGAAGGAATATTCAGATATTCTGCCATAGACTTTACGGGGGGAACAATAAAGAAATGTCTATTAACATAGGATACTTTGGAACAAACGAGAAGTGCGAAACAAGTTTAAGGCTATTCAGCAACACACTGTACCCTCTGAAATGTGAGAGTTCTAATCAGGCCATCTAGAACGAGGCAGCTGATGTCAACAGCCTTTCCACAAAGCTACTAGTTACAGAAAAAACAGGACCCTCCCCTACCTGCTCTGAGCACCCATGAGAGAGCAATTATTTAATTCATCACCAATGGGCAGGCAATTTGTTTAACCAACCACGAAGGACATGTACGTACCAGACCTGCTAGAGCCACCAGTGTAGTCTGAACCTGGGTCATGTTTCCATTCTCAAAAAGATCATTTGCTTCAAATATGTCATGTGGCTTCATACCATAAGCCTGAATAGCTTTAATGAAGTTGCCAATATTTTCCAACTATGAAGAAAAAGAGCCATATGACTTTTAGAACTAAATTTTAACATTCTGAGAATCCTAAGTCTTCATGCCTAATTAGTTACAAGATGTCAGACAGAAAGCTACTCGGCAAGAATTCTTAACCAGATACATACTAAGCATATTTCTCTCTAGAAAAGAAGTTATATAATAGTTTTAATATTTTTAAGTAGCAACTATTTTTCAATTCTTTAAAGGTAAAATCTTCCTTATGTAAGAATTCTGTATCAGAGCTATCCAGGCCTGGAATTTTATCAAATTTACCTACTTACACTAATAAATAATTCATTGTATGTTTTAATTTTAATTTCAAAATAAATTTATGGTTACTAAATGCTCATTGACTCTTTTATCTCAAAACACACCTAGGGGCTGGGGATTTAGCTCAGTGGTTCTGGTGCCTGCCTCACAAGCACAAGGTCCCGAGTTCGATCCCCAGTACCAAAAAAAAAAAAAACAAACAAAAACACACCCAATACCAAATACATATCCAATGTTACTCAGTCACACATTCACAAACTGAGATTATGTCTGGTACAGCATTCTGTGCTGAACCAGTAATAGATGTGCTAAATGCTTTCCTGTCCCCTCATTTTATGGGGGTTTTTTTGGTTTGGTTTTGGCTTTTTGAGACAGAGTCTATGTAGTTCAAGCTGGGTATGAACCCACTATGCAGCCCAGGCTGACCTTGAACTCTCAGCAATCCTCCTGTCTCAGCCTCCCAAGGGCTAAGACTACAGGTGTGCCCTACAACATTTAGCTTTTTCCCTCATTTATGTTAAGGTCTGGGTTGAATTTCTCTTGGTAAGCTGTGGTAAATTCTTTTTGGAAGTAGACAGGCTAAATTTTGGAAAACTTTTAAGCTAACTATCTACTGTTGATAGAAGCAGTTCATTGTAATTAAACATTTCTGAAAATGGCAAAAATAAATATAGCTATGTGTACAAATTTCTGCCAACATGTCTATTTTAAAATTGTAATCATAAAACAAAACCTGAACTTTTTCACTACATAAAAAGAGACCAACTAGAAGCAGAGGCTACTAGTTTGGCTCTTACCTGAGGCCAGTTTAATGAGGACTCATTGACCTTCTTCACGGAGCCTGGCTGTAACTTGTTTATGAGTCTAAAAACAAAAATATTAAGAAACATCTTATTTATTGGTCATACCAAAACAAGCCCTGGAATATTCAACTGGTTCCTTTACATCAGTAAAGAAAACCATTAAACATAATTGTAGGGTATCAAGGTTTGACACCCTAGACTTGTCAGGAGGGGAGGACAGAGCCCTGGGAAAGGACCAGCAGACTTCTGAAAGCCAGACTTACTCGCAGAGGATGATGCCATCCTTCAGACCCAGCTGGAAGTTAGGGCCAATGCTCATGCCTGTCACCTCTTCTATCCAATTACGAAGATCTTCCTCTGCCTGGTGATCATACTTGGAAGCAATCTGGAATGGACATTAACGTTAGAGCAGTTTCACTAACGCATCACAGACTGTTGGCTCACAAGCTGTGCTGTCTGTCATTTACTATCCTCTAGGGCCACAGCTGTGACAGGCAGTAAATTACATTCAATAGAGTTCGCTGGTGAACAGCATCAACTGTTATTGTGGTTTCAGTATCTAAGCACCAATTTTTGGAGAAGACAGTATCATACAAAATTCTGGAGGACTACACAGAGAAGCTGGGACTGAGAAGGAAAAAATACCCATCAGGATGAGGCAGATTCCCAGTCATGACACACAGGAAGTGAGAAGGATTTAATAGAGTATTACAATATGGCACTAGCCATGACTTAAACTTTAAAGTCATTAACCACCACATTCCAAAATAAATAAAGAAAAGGAAAGGAAAGATGGGGAAAGGATCCTGACACAGTCAATTATTTTACACAGTACCTCAAGTAGCTGAGACATCATTCCAACATTTTCTTGCCTAGAAAGTTCTGGCATTTGCCTTGTATTCAGACAAATACAGCACATGGAACACACCATAGACACACACACAAACACACACACACACTTTACTCAGTACTAACTATACTTAAAGTACAATGCTGAAATTCTGCTCATGAAACTCTGTCCTATTAATATCTTCACAAGAAGACAAAACACTCAATTAATTCGTTTTTAGATTCTTAGTATCTAGTACTATTACCCAGTACACAGACATTTAATAAAACTAAAAAAAAAAAAATTGGTTTACTTTTTTACTTGTAGAATTCTGTAATAAAAGCAACATAACAACCAACAACTGGATGGTATGGTATTATTATACATGCTAAAACTACCTGCTAACCACAGGTTTTGAAAGCTTTCTTCATAACAAGACCGTAAGTTTAAAATTTAAACTGTAAAATAAAATTAAACCAAGCATTAAACATCTTGTGCTCAAATTTTTTTTTTTTTTTTTTTTTTGGTACAGGGGATCGAACTTGGGTCTTTGCACTTGCGTAGCAGGCGGCAAAACCACTGAGCTAAATCCCCAGCCCTCAAATTCTTAAAATATTCTTTGTCCTAGCATCCGTAAAGAGGCTGGCCAATGACTTGGGAAGAACACAGCTGCCAAGTGTGCTAGTGTACACCAGGAGGATCAAAAGTTTGAGCCCAGCCTGGGCAACCTAGCAATCAATACTTTGTCTCAAAATAAAAAATAAAAAGGCCTGGAGATGGAACTGGGAACAAAGGCCCCCAGTTTAATCCCCAGTACTGTAAAAACAAACAAACAAAAAAACAATACAGCTGGGAACAACAAAAGTTGTGTATGCTTTGTCTTCTCAGTCAGCACAGGTAAAAAGGCTAACTACGCACATGTGGGAATAGTGCAGGGGACAGAGCTCACGAGCTCGGAAGTCAATTTCAGCACTGTTGAAAATGGAAATGAACAGGAGAAAGGCGTGCTGTCCATAAAACATAATTAGGTTTAATTATGGAAAGAAATGGCATCATGACATTTTGATCATGAGGAAATCAAGTTCCAGTCCAACCAGTCAAACAGGAGCCAAACACAACTCTATGAAATCCCCTAGATTCCTGGGGCCAGAGTGCAGGACTGCAGGCTGCATTCAGGTCCTTTCCAAAAGAGAATCAGGGGTCGGCAGGACCAGGATAGACACCTTTCAGTCACCCCACAGAGAATACCAGCACTGAGTCTTAAAAATTCACATCTGGGGCCGGGGATTTAGCTCAGCAGTTCTGCTGCCTGCCCCGCAAGCGCAAGGACCGCAGTTCGATCCTCGGTACCAAAAAAAAAAACAGAGAGAGAAAAATTCACATCTGACTGCAGTTCCTTTTCACGTCCACCCAAAGCCACAATGACCTTTTATAATGTTCAAGGTGAGAAAAATACTCCATTTCCCAGGTCAAATTAATTAACCCCTCGCAGGCACACCATGCACTAGAGCCTTGAGTTGGCCCAGGAACATAATTAGTCCACTCCTGATGTTTTCAGTGACTCCCTCCCCCACCATCAAGGGTGAGGCTCTAGTTTGAGATAAGACTATGTGCTGTCACTAATTACAGTGTCATTTAAAACCCAGCAGTTCTTGATCCCCTGCACACCCCACTCCTCCAAATTAAAGAAAGCCTCTACAAAATAATGGGTAATTTATTTAAACTGTGGGTTTCCTTAACCAGGATCACAAAAGGAAATACAACAAGTTCTATTGCCATATTAAGATAACACTACAATGTTTCATGGGTCCAATCTGGCCTGAAGTTAGCTTGTACAGTAAAGAAAGGAAGGAAGGAAGGGAGGGAGGAAGGGAAAGGAGTGAGCAAGCAAGCTCAAGCACAATGAAACTACATAACATGGCAAGATTCCTGCCCCACTGGTACCCTGACTCCCTAAAAAATACATGTCTATTTTCATTTCCTGCCAATTTGAGTTACATTGGCATCTGAATGGGGAACTGGGGAAGAAGGCAGGGAGGCTGAAAGATACTGCCCTGCTTAAGCAGGAACCAGCCACTACTCCTATCAATACCATTTAAACATTCTGGGATAACTTATCTTCTCCAGCATATCAAACAAATCCATTTATGTATAGCAATAAGTGTTAAACTGGTAGACAAACTCTTAGGCATTGGCTTTTCACACTGGAGTCTTGTTTCAGGTGGCTAGAACATAAACTCTGTGTACTGGAGTTGTGGACAGAAGGGCATATATAGGTAAGAGAGAAAAAGAGAAGCTACCACTCAGGAGGCACTAGCTATGGAGGGCAAATTCTAATTGTGAGATCTTTGTTTTTGTTTTCAAAACTGAGGAGGCACACAAGATCTGAAGAAAAGATATAATATGCTAGAATAGGAGGAGTCTGCCTCAGCTCTATCTTCACTATGGGTCCTTCAATAACTTCGTTATCCAATTTCTGTCTACATAAAAGGCAGGCTGAATTCAAGGGGTGCACCACATCCCTTCCCACTCTGTCTGCACAATTTGGTCAATCATCAAAAGTGTGAAGAAATAGTCTCCTGCTTTTCAAATGCAGAGATGAAATTACGTTCAGTGGTTTGGGGTTTTTTGGTGATGATGATTTTTTGTGCCAAATGAGACTATTATTTAACTAGGATAATGTAAAAGCATATTTATTTTTCCTTTGTACAAAATGTGTCCAACAGGCTGGGGATTTAGCTCAATGGTTCCACCATCTGCCTCATAAGTACAAGGTCCAGAGTTTCATCACTGGTACCAAAGAGAAAAAGTTTGCAAAATGTGTCCAACAGATTCAGTGCCACACTCCAAACCACAAAGCGATTACAGACCTCTCAGGAAATATCTGAGATAGCAAGGAATCTTCGTCTTCTCTGTTGACAGTTGTCATCAAGGGACTGATGAAACAGAGCAATCCAGCCCTGGAGTCAGCTGGATTTGGGCTCAAATCCTGCCCCAACAATGGCTGGCAGTGGAGGGTGACTCTGGGCAGATGACTGTCTCTAGCACATCAGCAAATGCAAAGAGGTAGTTCACAAGTGCACAGATTTGAAATTCAAGGCCCCACAGTATTATAAACTAAAAACTAGGAATGTATCCACATCACATTACTACTATTAGTTTTGACTTAAGATTTTCCTTTAACGGAACAACAAGGATTTTTTTTTTTTTTACCCAAGTATTGCTAGTAAGTGGAGTTTCCTGAAGTCAAATGAGCTAAGTATTGTCTCTTAAAATCAAGGGATGGAAAGTAATTAAAAAGTAAGCTTTGGCCAATAAAATTTATGCACTATTTTCACCTACAAAACCTTAATTTCTAAACATAAGGCAAAAAATGACAGAATTTTCTTCCTTGTATGTAACAAGAAATTTACCGTCTTACAAAATCAATGCTATATTCACATCTCATTAATACCTCATAGAAACTTCACTCTAATTTGCTGGGGGGAAAAAAAATCACTGCTCAAATTATTTATAAACACCATTTAAGGGCTGGGGTGGTTCCACCTCTTGCCTCACAAGCGCAAGGTCCTGAGTTCGATCCCCAGTACTGAAAAAAGAAAGAAACATCATTTACCTTATTCTTCAAGATGCTCTATTTCATGTTCCCAAGCTACTTTGTCTGACTTTCTGCCTGGTTCCTTCAAGTCCACAGCAGCTCCTTTCTTGCTCTTTCTTCAGGAGAGCAGGGCCTCACAAGCTTTTTCAGTCAAAGTGCACTTGTGAAGACCCAGGGCTGTGGGCATGCCCAACACAAGCCAGGGTGAAGACGAGGACCAACAATGAGGTCTCCTGGGGCATTAGCACAGTTGACCATCTTCCCTGGCCACAGCACTGCACCTGTTCTGCCTTCACTACTCAGGCAGCGTCAACTGCCTCTCCTCCTCTTCCTGCTCAGGCCAGCTTCGGGCCTGGCGCCTGGGGCTCCTGCCTGTGCTCTTGGCCCTGCCTTGCCTCAGGGTGGCTCAGAGCACTGGACTGGAAGCACACTTCAGTTCAAATGCACATCAATCTTTTCCAGTTGCCTGGCCTTTTTCAGTCCTCACATAATCTTTTAAGATTTCTAAAATAGGGCTGGGGATTTAGCTCAGTGGTTTCACCACCTGCTGTGCAAGCGCAAGCACTGGAGTTCGATCCCTGGTACCAAAAAAACCCAAACAAAACAAAGAGATTTCTAAAATATTTGCTTAAAAAAAAAATAAGGACAAGCATAGCTTGCCTGTAATCCCATCTACTTGGGAGGGTGAGGCAGGAGGACAGCAGAGTTTGAGGCCAGCCTGGATAACTTAGCAAGGCCTGGTCTCAATAAACAAACAAAAAATAAGCAAGCAATATATAAATTTTAAGAGCATGCATTCTCAGCATGCTCAACATGGGGGTTATACTGCTCTCAAAGGAGCAAAAACTGGTTCTTCTCGTGGACAGTGAAAACCTTTTTGATATTACAAAAGCTCAGGATCCTTCAAAAGCTCAGTTCTACTAAACAAAATCTTACTCCTTTGTATTAAATCTGGCAG